TTTCTTGTCCTCATCCGTCTCCTCCTCCCCACCTCCTCTCCTCCTCCTCCCCCTCCCCCTCCCCCTCCCCTCCTGCTCCTCCTGCTTCTCCTCCTCCCCCTCCTCCTCCTCCTCCTCTTCCCTCCTCCTCCTCCTCCTCCTCCTCCTCCTCCTCCTCCTCTCCTCCTCCCTCCTCCTCCTCCTCCTCCTCCTCCTCCTCCTTCTCCTCCTCCTCCTTCCGTAGCCATTTTGGCTCAAGCCATTTTGGCTCAAGCCGTCTCGGCTCAGGGTGGTCTGCGCGACCCGCTCGGCCTGGATCCCCCCGACCCGCTCCTCGGGTCTTCCTGCTCCCTCTCCCTCGGGCCGGGCGCGCCCGGGTGCTCCTCGTGCCTCTCCCCGCTCTCGCCATGGCTGGGGTCGCCGGTGTGGCAGCAGCTGTGAACGGCCTGCCTGCCCTGCCTGGGCTGCCTCCTGCTCCTGCCCCCTTGGGGGCCGCGGGGGAGGGCGCGCCTCCGCCCGCGCCCCAGGTACCATTGGATGTGACGGCGCAGCTCAGCGCCTTGACGATGATAGTGAAAGAGGGCTTTTCCTCTCACAAAGCAGAGGTTGAGTTGCTTCGACAGCAGATGACAGTGATGGGCACCAACTTCGATCGAATGCAGGAGGAGTTCGCGGAGATGAATCGTCGCTCGGAGGCTCGCTGGGCAGAGATTAAGAAATCACAGGATGCAGCGATCCACCAGGTCTCGGTTGACACAGATGCGAAGTTGGCGGCAGTTGTGGCAAAGATCGACGTTCAGTTGCAAGAGCTCCAGCAGAAACTCTCAGCAGGTTCGTCGACTCGTGCCGATTCGGAGTTCGAGCTCGTAGGAGGTGGTGGGGAAGGAGGGCGGCGTACGAGGTTGAGGACGTTGGGCCCTGACCAAGCCAGTGCTATTCGTCTCATCGTTCTAGGTTTCGAGAAGCCCCTGCTGGAAGCGCCCCTCAAGGAAGCGGTCGCCCCGATAGTCGCTGCGTGTAGTCCAGCTGGCGAGGGACCGATCGTTCGAGCATACTCCCTCTCGCGGAAGGTGATCTTTGACTTCCCCAGTACTCTGTCGTGCACGGCGTTCTTCGGTAAGAGCCAGACCATCGGTAAGACTGCGTACCAGAACCCGATTGATAACCAGGGCTGGGAGCTTCGCGTGCGTCGCGACTTGCCCCCCGCTAGCCGTAAGTTTTTCTACTACCTGGGACAGACTCGTGCGATCATCGGGAAGGTCTTGGGGGAGAAAGGGTTCCAGGTGGGCAGCAACGGACTCGGCGGTCAGATATACGGTCTCATCACGGCTACCCACCCAGTGATTCTGGCGAAGGTCACGGTCTTTGAGTGCGGTCGCCCCGAACTCGTTCTGATCCCTGGGGCCCTCGGAACGTTCGGAGTTAGTGAGCACGCAGCATGCATTGTCACCCTTTTTGATCAGACTCGGCCCTTCGTGTGAGGGCCCCAGTTGTCCTGGAGCACCCCGCCTCGGGATTCCTAGTGCCCTGCCTGGCCTTTTTTTGTCGGGTCCCTGGTGGTTCGGGCCCTCCCTGGGATGGTGGGCCTGTCGGGGGAAACCATCGGACCCGTGCGCCGAATTGCCAGGATAGTGCTCAGCCAGCCAACCAGTGTTTTAATCTGAATTCAGGAGGACCTTTTACCCCTGGTGACCCGTCCTCAGGAGCGAACGGGGTGTTTGCTCCCTCCTCTGCGCTTGCCTCCCCTCTCCTGAGTTGCCGTGTCCCCCTTTTTGGTCCCCCCTTTTCCCTGTGGCCCCCTAGGTATTGGTCCATGCATGAAGCTGTTAGAGTGCGATGTGACCCTGGAGGGTCTCTCTGGTTGGCTGGCTGGTTTTCCGCGGTTTTTTTCCTGATGATGTGCTTTCTCTGCGTTCTGTTACGTTTCTTGGTTAATTCAGGGCCCCGCGTTGTCGCCAGGGTTGCGGGCTCTGCTCAGTGCTCAGTGTGACCCTCTCTGCCGGCAGGTGAAGATGGAGAGGTGCAGCTAGAGAGAGTCCTCTCTCGCTGCGCCGCCGCCCCCCTGCTTTGGGAGGGTGCCTCTCTTGCCGCGCCGCCGCCCCCCCGCCTCTCTCCGCCGCCCGCCCCGCGGCCGCCCCGCCTCCCTCGCCTGCCCGCCTCTCTTGCTGTCCATCAGCTACAGGTTCTCGGACGGGCGGAACAGTCTGGTTCGCTCGAGCGTCGATGGAGCGTCGCTCCTGTAGGGTAGGCAGGCCTTCCCGCGACGCCAAGCCGTGGCGCCTCCAGACACCCGTTGCGTCTGGCGCGGTGGAGGCCCCCCCCCTCTGCCGCGCCCCGCCGTCGCCCTCGGGTTCCCGACGAAGTTCGAGGCGCCCCCGCGGCCGCTCCGCGCGAGAGAGCGCCCCCTCTCGCCTTCAGGTTCCCGACGAAGTTCGTGGCACTTTGGAGGCCGCTGTCTTGTTTCCCTTGTTCGGTGCGTTGGGGTCTCGTTTTTGGGGCGCGCCCCTTCTGTCTGCTCCTGTCCGCTGCTCTGTGGGTTGGGCCCTCGGTCAGCCGAGGAGTGAGTGTGGCATGGGAAGGATGCTCGAGTGTGTGACCCCCTTTTGGACGGCGTGCCGTGGGGGAGCGCGCGCCCGCCAGGGATCGAGCACACTCGGAGCAGAGTGCCCGCCGCCGCTTCTCTTTGCCCTGCCCCTGCCGCTGCCCCCCCCCCCCCGCCCTTTGCATGTATGATAGCACGGTGCCCAGTGCTCGTTGACATTCGGCGCGCGCTTGCGGTGGGAAAAAACTCCTCCCCCTCCTCCTCCTCCCCCTCCTCCTCCGCCCCCGCCCCGCCTCGATCTCCTCCTCCTCCTCGCCGTCCTCCTCCTCGTCCTCCTTCCCCTCGTCCTCATCGTCGTCGTCGTCCTCCTCTTCCTCGTCCTCCTCCTCCTCGTCCTCCTCCTCGTCCTCCTACCCATCCTCCTCGTCCTCCTCCTCCTTATCGTCGTCGTCGTCATCCTCCCCCTCATCATCACCATCGTCATCATCATCATCCTCGTCATCCGCATCATCACCATCATCATCATCATCATCTGCCTCATCGTCAGCATCATCATCACCATCATCATCATCATCACCACCATCATTATCATTATCATCATCCGCATCATCATCATCATCAACATCACCATCATCATCGTCATCATCCGCATCATCATCGTCATCATCCTCATCATCATCATCCCCACCCTTCTTCGACCTCTTTCTCCTCCCCCTCTTCGTCCTCATCGTCCTCCTCGTCTTACTCCTCCTCCTCCTCCAATTCATCCTTCCCTTCCTCTTCCTCCCCATCCTCGTCCTCCTCCTCCTCCTCCTCCTCATTCTCCTCCTCCGCCTCCTCCTCCTCATCATCCCCTTCTTTCTCCTCTTCATCCTCCTGCTCCTCCTCCTCATCCTCGTCCTTTTCCTAATCTTTCTCCTCATCTTCCTAATCCTTCTCATCCTCTTCCTCCTCGTCCTCCTCATCCTCCTCCTCCTCCTTCTCATCCTCCTCCATCGTCTCTCCCTCCTTCTCCTCCGTTTCCTCCTCCTCTTCCTCCTCTTCCTCCTCCCCTTCTTCCTCCTCCCCCCTCCCCCCCTCCTCGTCCTCCTCCTCCTCTTCCTGCTCCTCCTTTTTCTTCCCCCTTCTCTTCGACCTCGTCCTCCTCCTCCTTTTCCTCCTTTTCCTCCTCCTCCCCCTTCCTCCTCCTCATCCTTCTCCTCCTCTTGCTCCTCCTGCTCCTCATCGCCTCTTCCTTCTCCTCTTCCTCTTTTTTCTCCTCCTCCTGCTCCTGTTCCTGCTCCTCTTCCTCCTCCTCCGCCAGAGAAGGCCGTCCTTCCAGCGGTATCCGCTGGTTGGCGATTGCATCGCAGCCGAGCGCCAATGTGTTGTCGTGATTGTCTCTTCTTCCCTGCTCGTCCTCCCTCCTCGCGGCCCTCGGCCCTTCGGCTCGCCCGTCGGTCCCTCGGCCCTGCTCGGGGTCCCCTGGCCCGTTCGTTCGTTCTCGCTCTATCGGTGACCCCTCGTGAATTCCGCCTTGTGGGACTCTGTAAGCAGGCGCTTCACAGGCATCCGCCCCAGCTGACATCAGACCATGGATCGCAACGGTTCTTGTCTTGTCTTGTCTTGTCCTCCTCTTCCTCCTCCTCCTCCTTCCCCACCCCTCCTCGACCTCCTCCTCCTCCTCGTCCTCCTCTTCTCGACCTCCTCCTCCTCCTCCTCCTCCTCCTCCTCCTCCTCCTCCTCCTCCTCCTCCTCCTCCTCCTCCTCCTCCTCCTTTTCCTCCTCATCTGCCTCCTCCTCCTCCTCCTCCTCCTCCTCCGCCGCCTCCGCCTCCGCCTCTGCCTCCTCCTCCTCCTCCTCCCCCTCCTCCTCCTCCTTTTCCTGGTCGCTGGGTTTTCTGTGTCTTCGGTTCCTCGCCGCCCGTGGGTGCCTCATGGGCGCCTGGGTGCTTCGGGTCGCCGTCCGTGGGGGCCTCGAGAGTGCTTTTTAGCATTCGGGGCCATAGCGCGCGTTGTGCTCTCCGCTTCCCCCCTCCTCCCCCCCGTAACGTAGCGCTCCTCCCCGCCCAGTGCGTCCCCAGCACTGCCGCAGAGCGTCCAGCACACCATTCCTCACGGTCGGGGGGCGCGTGCGTCTTGTCATGCCCCCTCCCGCACTTTCCCCCCCTTTCCCGCCCGATTAAGCCCGTCATCGCCGTGCGGCACCCCATGTGCCGGTCGGACGTCTGATCACTGGCAATGCAGTAGATATCATCGGTAGTCATTTGTCGTACGTCTTACGGTTGGAAAGGCCACCGTCTTCGCAAACGATTTGGTAGCGAGCGGAGCCAGTTCGAATAGGTATAGCCGGCTGGCATCAAAGAGAGTTTGAGCAACGACGACGAGAAGGAAGAGGAGGAGGAAGAGGAGGAGGAGGAGGAGGAGGAGATTCCCGATTCTTCCTTGTCCGAGGCTGACCTCGTCCTCTGTCCCAGACTGGGAGCCGCCGGCACCCGCAGGCTCGGCAGCTCGTTGGGCGCATGGTGCAGACAGAGTACGAGCCCCGGCAGGCCCCTGGGGAGGGGCGCTGGCGTGCTTAGAGACGAACGAACGAACGAACGAACGAACGACGACGACGACGACGACGACAATGGACGACCGACGACCGACGACGGATAGCTCGCGCAGCGCGCCCGAAAAAAAGTGTCGACGCTCTGACGCTCTTGACGCTCCGAGGAGCGTCACGGGCGCCAGGGGCGTCAGGGGCGTCAGGGGCGTCAGGAGCAGGAGCGGCAGGGATGTCAGGAACGTCAGGAGCGTTAGGAGCGTTGGGCAGGGACGTCAGGAGCGTCAGGGGCGTCAGTGGGGGCTTCAGAGGAGGTCAGCGACACAGGGGGCGTCAGGAACGTCAGGAGCGTCAGGAGCCTCAAGAGCCCTAGGAGCGTCAGAAGCCTCAGGGGCGCCAGGGGCGTTAGGAGCGTCAGGAGCGTGCGTCAGGAGCGTCAGCAGCGTCAGCAGCGTCACGGGCGGCACGAGCGCCAGGAGCATCAGGGGTGCCAGTAGCGTCAGGAGTGTCAGGGGTATCAGGGGCGTCAGGTCGGTGGCGGTGACGACGGCGGCGGCGGCGGCGACGACGACGACGACCGAGGAACGAAGATGACAATGACGAAGACCGCTACAAACGACGAACGACAAACGACGAACGTCGAAGGCGGTGGCGGCGACGACTCGACGACGACGTGGACATCGGCGGCTGTGACGACGGCAGCGGCGGCGGCGGCGGCGGCGACGACCACGACGACGACGACGACGACGACGACGACGACGACGACGGCAACGACGAGAACGACTTTAACGACGACGACTACGACGACGACGCCGACGACGTCGAGGACGGCGACGACGACGACGACGACGACGGCGGAGAGCTTATGCAGCGCGCCTGAACAAAAAATGCTGACGCTCCTGGCGCCCCGAGGAGCGTCAGGAGCGTCAGGGGCGTCTTCAGCGTCAGGAGCGGCAGGGGCGTCAGGAGCGTCAGTGGCGTCAAGGGCAGGAGCGTCAGGGGCGACAGGGGGCTTCAGAGGTGGTCAGCGACAAAGGGGGCGTCAGGAGCGTCAGGGGGGGTCGTCCGGAGCGTCAGGAGCGGCAGGGGTGTCAGGGGCGTCGGGAGCGTCAGGGGCGTCAGTAGCGTCAGGGGCGTCAGTGGAGTCAGGGGGGTCAGGGTGTGTCAGGGGGCTTCAAAGGTGCTCAGCCACACAGGGGGCGTCTGTAGAACAAGCTGCGTCATGAGCATCAGGGGCGTCATGGGCGTGGAGACTGCAAGAGAGGTGTGCCGAAACGGACAGACCTGGGTCACAGAATTTGTGCACCCAGGCCTTAAACAAGCACACCAGAAGCCCTGAGATGCAGAAAGGGTGTGTCAAAATGGGCCTCCTGGGGCCGAGACAGCTGGGCGCCCAGGCCCCCGGGGACTGCGAAGCGCGAGAGGGGTGCGCCGAAACGGGCAGACCTGGCTCACAGAATTTGTGCATCAAAGCCTCGCGGAAGCACACGAGAAGTCCTGAAACGCGGTGACGGACGAAGACGAAGACGAATACGAACGACGACGGCAATGGCGGCGACGACTTTACGACGATTTTGCGACGACGACGACGACGACAATGATGACGTCTTTACGACGACTTTACGACGATTTTACGACGACGACGACTCAGCATGCAGGAGAGGGGATCTTTTCGGGAGAGGGGTCCTCAGTTCACTCGCCGTTTTGGGGTTCTCGAGGCCCTCCTGGGACACCGCGACCGTGACAGCGACTCGCGACAAGGCGCTTGCCTCCAGGAGAGGCCCCCCCCCCGGGGGGGTCCAGGACCCGTTGCCGTCGGGACCCGCTCCGCTGCTGGGCAGCGCTGCGGGAGAGAGGCTCCCGACGGGCAGGTCGGATCGGACGCCCGAGAGCGTCACGCCTCACGTCGCGGGGGCGGCCGTAGGCGAGAGAGAAAGAGAGAGGGAGAGGGAGAGAGGGAGATCATGGGCCTGTTGTCCACCACCACCGCCATAAGCTAGAGGGGGGAAGGCGGTTGAGGATGAGGAGGTGGACGAAGAGGAGGAGGAGGAGGAGGAGGAGGAGGACTTCCTCCCCCTTCTGCTTCTGGTAGTGGTGGTGGAAAACAAGCCCACCAGGAGGGGAGAGGAACAAGAAGAAGAGAGGGCGCGGCATCGGCAGGCGTGAGGGTCGGCGGGGGGAGGGGGCGAGAGAGAGAGAGAGGGCGGCCCCGGAGCGCGGAGGGCGCGCGAGGCAGGAGGCCGCAGAGCCTTGCTGCACCCCTGCGCTGTCTGCGTGGGCGGGTCCGAGCGGGCGCCCAGGGCGGCGGGAGGCGGCGGAGTGGGCGCGGCCCGGTGGAGGGGGCAGCGGCGGGAGGGGTGACTTCCCCGAGAGGGGAAGACGGGGGGGGAGGTCCCGAGCCACCTTCGCCCTGGAGGCTGGTGCGACGGGAGTCGGAAACAAGCATAGGCAGCACTCGTGCAGAACATCTGGTCCGAACTCCCGCGCCCCTTCCCCCAGATGCAATGTTGGTGTCGGATCTTCCGGTGTTGGGCCTCCGAGTGGTCTTCAGGGAGCGTGCCGACTTTGAATTGCGGGGGAGGGGGGGGGGTGTTGCTTAATTTCTTCCCTCGACTGGATGATCACGGGGAGAAGAGAGGGTCACATGCTCTGACGGTGGAGAGGAGGGCTATTTCCTCTCTAGCTCAGGGGCCACCGCTTTCCTCGCCGACCGCAGGGAGTCAGGGGGCAGCAGCGAGAGTAGAGCGCGGCAGGTCGAAAGCATGAATTTCTTCCTCACGTCCATCGGCACGATGGCCAACTTCATCGGCGTGATCTTGACCACGATCGTCCTGGAGACGGTCGAGCCAGTCGAGGATCTGTGAGCGGTCGCGCTTACAGTCCGCACTTGCTCTTCTGATCCTCTTTCTTTGCTGTGTCCTCCCCTACTCCTCCTCCTCCTCCTTCTCTGGCTCCTCAGTTTCTACCTCCTCCTCCTTCACCTCCTCTTCCTCCTCTTTCGATGAAACGAACAGCATGAACATAAGCTGTTCTCGCAGACCTGGAGGTTGACACCAACACCAATATCAGCGGTGTGCCTCCACCGAGTGAAGAATATTCCGACCTCGGTGATGGTGGTAATATTCTGGCTTCTGAAGTGGCCGAAATATTTCCACCAACACCGAAATCTCCCCAGTGGAGGTAGCCCCCTGTGTTGGTGTTGGTGCCCATTTCCAGGCCTCCAATGTTTGGAGCTCCACGAGGCTTTCTCGGAGCCGAGCTGGCCTCCGGCGTCGCCCCTGGCGCGCCCCGCGCGCCAGGGAGGGGCGGTCCAATGCCGATCCAAGAAATACGCGCGGAGCTCCGACAAGTTATATCAATGAAGTTCGTTGTTCCTCTACTCCTCATCCATTCTTGATGTTCACTGGTCCTTTTCGAGGGGGCAGCGTGCTAAGCACACCTGTCGCCCGTCTTCGGGCCGCCCTACGTGGCGTAGACAGCTGCTCCCTACTCTCTGCTCTCTACTCCTCGTCTATCTCCACATCCCTCCGGCAGGGAGGAGGGAAGGAGGAGGTGTGGAGGTGGGGGAGCAGGAGGAGCGAGGGAGGGAGGGGAGGAGTTAGAGAGGGAGGAAGGGGCGCGAGGGAGGGCGGAGAGGAGGGAGGGTGGGAGATTGAGGGAGGCAGAGGGAAGGGAGGCACTCCTCCGCTCCAGTCTTCCTGCCCAAGGGTAGATAGATCTGATGCTCAGAGCCACCTCTGGAGGCATATGGCACAGGATCTCCGCTCTCCAGATCGGCTCGGTGTTGCTGTAGCGGTGGCGGAAAATGCGCGCCGCTCCAGAGGCTCATTGCAAGTTGCGAATCATTGCCTTCTAAACATATTCAAGATGCTTCGCGTAACCCCACCAGCCCAGCCAGAAATGATGTCCAGGCGAGTTGCCCTGAGCAGGCATGTGGGGGGGTGGGGCACGCAGTTGAATAAAGGCTGGACAGCCGTCATACCCCAAGAGGGGGAAGATGGATGACGAACCAGAAGAGGAGGAGGAGGGGAGAGGAGGGAGGAGGAGGGGAGGGGAGGGGGGGAGGGGGAGGGGGAGGGGGAGGGAGGGGGAGGGGGAGGAAGGAGGAGGAGGAGCGGAGGAGGAGGAGGAGGAGGAGGAGGAGGAGGAGGAGGAGGGGGCGGTGCTAGCAAGCACCATACCACGCCCAACCACGACGACATACGCAATTGGATAGGCATGGCAAAAAACAAACCCTCCAAATTCAAGAGTATAGCTACACACGCCTACAAGACAGCCACAGAGTACAACAAAGCAACAAAGAGAAAGCAGCCACAGCTGCCTGGAGACGACGCATCAACGACATCTGCAATGACATCACAACACGACAGCAGGTACCTGTGCTAGGAATGCGGGCAAATCCTGCACAGCAAGTCAGCTTATCAAAAGCACATGCGCGCGAAGCACAGCCGGCAGGAAAAGATCATCAAGTACATCCAGGGGTCTACATGCCAGGTTTGTATGATGGATTATTGGACGGTCAACCGTTTGTTCAAGCACATGTGCGCCAGCCGACAGTGTGCATCATTCACCATGCAGTTCAGCACGCGGCTCGACGACGACGCAGCAGACGACATATCCGAAGAGATACGGTGCATAAGACGGACCAACACGAGCAAATGACTACCCGAAGACTACGCAGAACGCCCTTGCATCCAACTCCACGGACCACCACTCGCACTACGAACAGGCGCGGACGACGAACTCACCACGATGATTCCTGCAACACTTCCTCTGTCACCGCAAGCAGATGAACCGCTAGACGAGCGACGAGGACAGACGGAAGGCGTCCAGGAACGCGATCGTCGTATATGCCACGCGGCTCGAAATAATCGACGGTGAGACATCGGAAGCATGCGTCAACAGGCCACATCGGACGTCGACAATCCTGCTCATCACCGACCAGAATGCTACCAGTGACGACACTATGCGCATCGTCAACGGCATCGAGCAGCAAGCAAACCTACAACACCGACGGTTACGACTTCTTACCGTAGCGAACCACACGAGCCAGGCGAACAACGACAGAAGTCCCGACCACGCCAGCAACGCCATCCACGACGCTATACGGAACGGAACAGTTGACGCCATCTATTGCAAAGAGTCCATACCGAGCCTCGGCAACAGCAAACGAATGCGAAACGAACAGCACCCGTGGGGTAGAAGAGACTCCAGCAGACACGACGCAACAACCATAATGGATGACAACGCGAAGATACGCGACGCCATCTTCCTCATGTACACGTGCATCGCCAACGAAACGGCCTGCTTGATGAGCATCGGACCGATCACGGCAACCGTCCCGCACGAACTCCAACACTTGAGGAGCCACAACCTTAGCAAGCATTTCCAGCACACCAGCGACGGCGACGGCGATACTACACGAATCCTGACGGCAGCACGCGGAAGCAGCCACAAAGACGAACAACCGACAAGCGGCATCATCGAATACGTGACCCACTACGGCCGTTACTTTGGAGAGAGCGAGCTTGCCCGACCAACCCAACATAAGGACGTCGACGAGATGATCGACTGGCCGCCCTCAACAGCAACCACAGACGGCCCCCCAGCTACGTGCTGGGCTGGTAGGTTCGCAGTACCGCTTGCACCGACGGGCGACTACCAGTAAGGCCAGACAGGACAAGGCCACTCTGGCCGACCATAGCGCTGCCCACCCTGGGCAGACGCGGCCCGCACGAGGGGCCCAGGGACATCACCGCGAGCGTCGCGTCGCACAATCTGGACTGTCACCACCTGGACCGCACCTCCCCCATCGAGTGCGCCCCCCTGGAGGCCAGGGGGGATGAGGACTCCGAGCTCCTGTGAGCCTGGCCCCGCGGGGCCGCGCGGTAACGCTAGACTAAGGGCTTCCGAGAACGAGATCCCCCTATTCGACGACCCACTGAAGGGGGCCCTCGTCTCTCCTTGCGGCTTGCCGCTCCTGTTCTCGGAAGTCCCCCTTAGCCACTAGAGTTTTCGTGTCTGAACCTTGTGTGTCCCTTCGGATATCTTGGGTCTTTCTTTTGATCTTTCCCTGGGACTGGACACACAAGGCGTTTCGAAGCAGCTCGACGACGGGCGCCAACTCCCACGAGCGGAGTTAGCACGTCTGAGAGCCGACCAGCGACCACTTTTCGCGTCGGTCGGGGCGGCTCCCATGGGATGGCGTCTGGCATCCGAGTGGCTCCGCCTCTCCGCCCCCGCGGTCCCTTCTTCCCCTTCCGTCGGCCAGGAAGCTTTCTCTCGCTTCGCTCTTGGGACCGCTTTCGGGTGCGCCTGCTGGTCGCGTTCCTCGGTTTCGTGCCTGGGCCCCGCCTTTCACTCGGTTCCTCGGGACCCGTCTCGCCCCGTCCTAGGCCAGGTGAGCCGCCTCCCCCTTCTCCTCGGGTGCCCTGCGGGCCCCCGCTTCAGCTGGCCCTTCGTTCGTTTCAAAACGGGGTCCCCGCCGCTCCTTTTTCTCTAGGCCCTGCAGGCGTTCTTCCCTTCCCTGGCGGGGCCCTGGGGGGCTGAGCCCTTGTGGGCTCCTCGCCCAGAAGCGGTGGTGCGCCTCGCCGCGCGTCGGGCGCGGCGCGGCGCGGGCTTCGGTGGAACAAACCGCCCTTGCGCCCGCACGCCTGAGGGGGCGGTGGAGGAGGAGGAGGGAGAAGGGACAAGGTAGGAGGGAGGAGGAGGAGGAGGATTGGGCGGACAAAGAAGAGGAAGAGGAGAAGGGCGACCAGAAAGGCCACAGGCCACCTGGATTTCTCTTGGCGGCACCGGGGGGGCTCTGAAGCGTCTTGGATGGGGTCTCTTGGGGGCCTTTTGGGGGCCTCTTAGGGGCATCATGGGGCCTCTTGAGCGCCTCTTAGGAGCCTTTGGAGGGCATATTGAGGTCAAAACCTTAGTAGAATCAATGATGTCGGCTTTCCCGCCGAGGCGAAAAAGACCCTCTTACGCCTCGCGGCTTCCCCTGTCCAGGTCCAGGGGGAGGGGCTGGGGGCGGGGAGCCTCTTGGGGGTCTCTTGGCGGCCTCTTGGGGGCTTCCTGGGCGCCTTTTGGGGCCTACTGGGCGCCTCCTGGGGCCCTCTGGAGGCGCTCTTGGGAGCGTTGGGAGCGCCCTTGGGGCCATCTTGGAGGACATCGATCAAACAAGAGGGGAGCATGAATTAGCGCTGCCCCTTGGGAGCCCCCAGAGTTGCCTCTTGGGACGCTCTTGGGGCGCTCTTGGGCGCTTTTGGAGCCGTGGTGGAGCTCTCTTGAGCCTCTCGTGGGCCATCTTGACCCATCTTGGAGCCATCTTGAGGACCCGGGTGGCCATCGGAAGCGAAAAGGCGAGACAGCAAACGACATTGATCCCCCCAAGGTTTTGGAAGGAGTTTGTCCTCCTCGGTGCCTCCTGGTGGAGCTCTTTGGCCACATGGAGCCGCCTCGGAGCGGTCTTGGGGCCTCCTGGAGCATCTTGGGAGCCATCTTGAGGCATCGTGGGGTATCTGGAGCCATATGGGAGGTCATCTTGAAGTATCTGAGGCCGTTTGGGGGCCATCCGGGTGCCTATTTGGGAGCCTCTTGGAGCCTTATTGGGGCGTCTTGGGGCGCTCGTGGAACCCTCTTGGGGGCCTCTGGGGAGTCCTGGAGGGCCTCTTGGGGCCATCTTGGAGGCGGACAGTCAAAAGAGGGGAGGTACTCGATTTAGGCCCCTCCCCTCGGGGGCCATGATCCTAGTGAGGGGTGGCAAAGAATGGCCCTCCCAATGGCCGAAAAAGGAGCCTCCGACACATCGCGGAACTTCAGAAATCAGGAAAAAACTCAAGGAGGGGAGGGGAAGGGTTCCCCTCCCCGAAGGGAA